TGTGTTTGTGTGATTGGCTTCCTTGTGAGGTCGCACCCTGGGTATCTGTCCAGTGTTGTGTGTCCCTGAGTTCAGGTCTTGTCCCTCCCAAGTGTTGCTGCTTAGCAGAGGTCAGGCTTTTGATCAGGGCCAGGTGGGGCATGGGCTCTGCTAAAGAGAGCAGTGTGCCCTGAAGCTCATAGAGGGCTGAGCAAGATTTGAATCCTGGGTGTAAGTTTGAGAAAGGAGGCCAAGAAGAATCACAGCCACAGGCAGGCACAGTGGGCCCTGACGGAGGGAGATGGGAGATGGAGGCCACTGATAGTGCTCCATAGTTAGAGCAGCACACCCAGCGTCTAGTGAGGGCTGAAGAGAGTTAGCTTCTCATTCCAAAGCCCACAGGGGCCTCTCACACATTTCCAAGGAGTGGGGCTTTTTCATCCCCTGTGCCCTGAGAAGACTAGCTGTAGCCCAAAGTGGCCCTGGACCTGGGTGGTAGCGGAGCAGCCTGGGCAAGTTGGTTTGCAGCTACAGTGGAGGGAGAGGACTTTAGAGGCACAAGGATGAGGCTTGCTTGCCTTGCAACTCTGTCCACATAGAGAGACTGCGGGGTGGGGGTGGAATGGGGGGCCTAATTTCTGGGAGAAAAGACCAGCAGAAAGGTCAGCAGGTCAAGGATTCATCTCTGTAGGTTTGCAAGATGCCAACCACTGGTGGCCACACTGCTCAGGGCTAGCCCTGGGCAGTGTGCTGTGTTGGTGGCTATTGGGGAGATAAAGAAGGGAGAGAGAACTCAATGTCAGACTAGTCCGAAGCCGTTGTGGTTGTCACACCTGCGATCCCAGCATGGGGCTTAGGCAGGTGGGTCTCAAGGTCTAAGCTAGTCTGGGCAACATAGTGACACTGTGTCTCAGAAACCGGAAAACACATGTCATCAGAGAAGGTGGATGTCATCAGAGAGAGGTGGATCCTCGATCATCAACCTCCACTGAGGCTTGTGTCCTGCTGTTAAGTGACCCAGCTGACTTCTGCCACCTCAGGTCAGAAGCTCCAAATGTGGCTCTGTGGGGGTGAATGTCCTGAGGGTGGCTCAGTTCCTGATGGCCCTGTGTCATGGGGGTGCTCATGTAAAGGCTTTTGCAGAGTCCAAGGCTCCAGCCTGGGCTTGGGGGACTTTGCTGGTTCAAGTGAGGGAGAGACTGTGGTAACAGGACAGCCTGCCCTGGGTCTGATTGCAAATTCAGGAGATAACCCTGCTGCATGTGTGGCAGGGACTTCTCAGGCAGCAGACCTGTCCACTGAAGTCATTTGATGACAGTCATCCTCAGGTGTGTGTGGGGCTGGGTGCCCAGCGCTCAAGTAAGGACTCAAGACTGCAGGAGCTCCACACCAAGCTACAGGTGGTTTCACACAGCATAATGAGTGACAGCTGGGCAGACATGACACCTGGACAGATGGGCCATCTGGGTAGACTGGCCACCTGGGAAGATGGGTCACCTGGGCAGACAGGTCACCTGGGCAGATGGGTGTCTGCCAGCGGTTTTGTGTTGAGGGCATTTGGGCAGGGCTTTTCCGGGTGGAAATGGGCTATAAAACTTTCTGTGGCTTAATGACTGCCAGCTATGCATGGGCAGAGTGAGGCTCTGGGGATAGTTAATTCCACAGGAAAACTTAGAAAAGTCACCAGCTACCTTTTTAGGAAGTACCCTTCATTTTCCCACAACCTACTAATGCTCATGTCTCCAAACAAGACAAATGGCTTTGCTGTCCATGTCTTAGGGGTACAGATACTGTGTTCTGACTTCCGCCTGTGCTATGTGGCTCCCTCTGGTGACACAGGCTTCAACATGCGTCCAGGCTGAGCTGTGCTTTGGTGTTCTGCCCTCTTGTCTCTTATCAATGGACAGCTAGGTTTCTGCTGTTTTCATGATATCAAATCAATCAATCAATCAATCAATCAATGAATCAATCAATCAATCAATCAATGCAGCTCTCTCCACAGAGATTTTCCTAAGTCACTGGATTATGGAGAAAAAGACTCTGATATATCTGTCCCCATAGCCATGTCCCCGAGGCCCTGCCCTTGAGTCCATCCTGAGGCCCTGTCCTGAGGCCATCCTGAGGCCCTGTCCTGAGGCCATCCTGAGGCCCTGTCCTGAGGCCCTGCCCCTGAACCCTGCTCCTAAGTCCCACTTCGCAGTGAGTTTCTCTGCACTGTTAGTAACTGGCTTTACCAGATGTTTTATTCTGGGCTGTCCTATGGGGCTGGCTGTCTCCTAGCTTCATCAGCTTGTCCCCAGTGCCCAGTGACATGAAGGTCCTTCACACATCTCCAGCGTGGACACAGGCGAAGGCCTGTCCTAGCTTGTGTTGTGGGGTTTGACAGTTTTCCTCATCTCTCTGCTTTCAGCCAACACTCTCTCCAGTGGGGAGTTATGGAGCCTTTAGGGTCAGAGCCTGGGCCTGCAGCTCCAACAAGCCAGGCTCTGCTGCCTGACCTCAGTGCACCAATAAGAAAGGAGAGTCACTCAATGTGGCTACACTGGGAAGAGGATGAAGATCCAGAGACAAGTAGCTCTCCAGGGTCCTGACCCCAAGTAGGCCTCCAGGGTTGAGGTTTCAATGGAGAACAAAAGGCTTGCATAGCTAAGCAGTCCAGGTCCCTGTGGTTCTGCCCATCACTGACTCATCATTCTCAGCTCTGGCCACTCCTGCAAGGTCTCCGTGTAAGCTCTCAGAACTGTAAAGTCATTTTCTGGAAGACAATGTCCCCCGCCCCTGCAACCCCCCCCCCGGGCCTGGTGCCAGCCTTTTCCTCCTCCCACAGTGAGATACCCAGGGAAATTCTGATTTCTTTTTGTTTCATTGGTGTTTGTTTTTTGAAGCAGAGTCTTGTAGTCCCAGCTGGCCTGTAACTTGCTCTGTAGACCAGGCTGGCTTCAAACTCATAGAGATCTGACTGCCTCTGCCTCTTGAGTGCTGGGATTAAAGGAATATGCTACCACATCCGGGTAAATTCTAATTTCTTTTTTAAAAAATACTTTATTATTTTTATTTTATGTGAGTGAGTGTATTGCCTGCCTGTGTATAAATGCACCTGTGTCATGCAATGCCTGAGGAAATCAGAAGAGAGTTTTTGATCCCCTGGAACTGGAGTTACAGATAGTTGTTAGTCACCGTGTGGGTGCTGGGAATCAAATCCGGGTCCTCTGCAAGAGCAGCCAGTGTGATTAACTGTTGATCCATCTTTCCAACCCCCAAATTTCTAACTTCTTGAGCTCCTTTGTTACTGGGATGGGAACCTGTAGCCTCACCACGGCCGGCCATTGCCTATCCTAAGCACAGAGCAAAGAGCATCAGCAGACCCAGTGGCACAGCCCCAAGAGGAGCTGAGACCAGGACCAAGGCAAGGCCAGGTCAGGGCCCCGGGCACCCGGCAGAGCCCCTGCAGACCACTGCGAATGACTCTGAGCCCATGACTGGCATAGGCCTGGGTCTGCTGACACAGGAAGGCTACCCCTGCCTGCAGCCTTCCTGCTCAGAGCTGGGCCCTCTCAGCTCTACCCAGCTCAGTCTCCTGGGGTTGTCCCTGCCCTCAGACAAAAAGCACAATGCAGGCCCTGTCTTGGCACAGGGTGTCAGGGGAGGAGCCCCTGTACAGAGGAGAGCTCGAGGGAGGGATGCAGGGGGATTGTACAGGGCACAGGGAGGCATCACAAGAGGTGTTAGCCAGACTGTGCCACTATAACAAGACTGGACAAAAGCCACGAGAGGGAGGAAGGATTAACTTTTTTTCATGCTTCAGAGGGTTCATCATGGTGGGGAGGACAAAGCCAGGCAGAGCTGCTCATATCATGTTGGCCAGGAAGCAGAGACAGAGGTCCTGCATCAACCAGCCGTCTCCTGTTCCCCTACTTCTATCCTTGCCTCCCGCTAATGCTGCCCACACCGGGCTGATTTCCCCCACAGCGAATCTGATCTCCAAACATCTTCACAGGCAAGGAGGAGCAAGCAGAATGCACGCTTCTTCTCTCTGCTTCTTGGACACTATGAAGTGAGCTGCTCCTCCTGCCCTCCCCTCTGCACAGGTTGGACTGAGACCCTGGATAAGGAAAATCCTTTCTCTTTGTTGGTTACTTATCACAGCACTGAGAAAAATAGTTAAAGGCAGAGGGCAACTGTCAGGTGACCGTGAGTTTATTGGCATTGTGAGCTTGTGATGGAGAGCAAGAGACCAGAGCAGGGACAGGGAGGACGGAGAGTGACCCAGGGTGCGGGTGGGGCTTCTGGGAGGCAGGGGGAGAGGTCAGGTCACATGGGGACTATCTATATCAGGTTAGGAGCAGACTGAGGTGCTGAGAGGGGACAAGGGCAAGGATCTGAGCCCACTGGCTCCAGGTCACAGGCCCATCAGCAGCTGGACTTCTGTCCGGAAGAGAGGCGACAGCAGGCCTGTCTGGAGCAGGCTGGGTGGCAGAGCAGAGACACAGAGGAGGAACTGAGGCAGCAGCTGGGCTGGCAGGAGAAGGCACAGCAGGAGGAGGCGGGCACGCAGCAGGTGGGTCTGCACACGGGGCGGCAGAGCAGGGACACGCTGGAGCAGGGTCTGCAGCAGACGGGCTTGCAGCAGAGGGGCACACAGCAGGATGACGGGGAGCTTGAGGGCTGGCAGCTAGACTGCTGGCCGCAGGGGGATCCAGAGCAGACTGTTGTGCAGCAGACGGGCTTGCAGCAGACTGGTGTGCAGCAGACGGGCTTGCAGCAGAGGGTCACACAGCAGGGAGAGGAGCTGCCGCAGAGGGAGGAGCTGCAACCTGAGGTCTGACAGCTGGACTGAGGATGGCAGCAGGATGAGGAAGACCCACAGCAGATGGGTGCGCAGCAGAGGGGCTTGCAGCAGAGGGGCACACAGCAGGACTGCTGGCAGGGGGAGGAGCCGCAGCTGGACTGTTGACAGCATGGTGTGCAGGAGCTGGGGCAGGTGGATTGGCAGCAGGGGCTGGACACACAGCTCACTGGGGTGCAGATGATGGTTAGGCCTGGGGTTGGGGCACAGCAGCTGGACTGGCAGTCACTGGGGGTGCAGCAGGGGACACAGCAGCTGGAGGCGCAGCAGGGCTCACAGTAGCTCTCTGGGCAGTCTTCCACCTGCCAGGAGGACTCGGTGTGGGCGTCAGAGCAGACGGACATGGTGGAGGGGGCCATGCTGGGGTTGGCTGGCGTTGCGAGTGTGTGTGTGTTGAGTGTTAAGTGACTGTGTGTGTGAGTGGCTGTGTGAGGGGCTCTGTGCTCCTGGTTTTATACTGAGGCGTGTTTTGCTGTGTGAGGCTCAGAGCTCTTCCCTTTCCTTGTTGTTCAGGCCCGAGGACGCTGTGCAGGGTCGTCCCAGGATACACCCTCCATCTGGTGGCCACCTGCCAGGTGACCGGGAATGGCTTTGAACCCCAAGACTGTTGTGTCCTCCAGGCCCTGTGTTCAGTGTGGTTGTCTAGTCTGCCTGTAACTGGGAGAGAGGGGACGTGGCTGAGCCCAGGATGACCCATCACAGGCATGCTGTAGTGTGTTCCGGTCGGGTCCAGCACTGTGACCAGAGTGTCCCAGCCGCCGCCTCTACTTCCCAGTGTCCTCTCAATATTGTCAGATATTGGGGTTCAGTGCCAGGAGTTCCAGGTTCTTATATCTCAGTATGAAGAGCTGGACAGAGGCAGATGGTTTGTAGCAAGCTAAGCCAAACATTTATTAAGAAGCCTCTTCCAAAGGGGCCAGCAGAGTCAGTTGCAAAGGCCTCCCTGTACACAGTGGGATTCTCTGTCACGCAGTGAGGGCTTTCCTGCTCATTTACATAGCATGGACTCTCTTACATGTCCCCTCCATGACATTCTGCACACAGCTTCATGCGTGGTGGATCTCATTAATATCTTTACTTTCCACACACGGGTGTTTTTGTGTCGTGTCAGGCCCTCGATCACTGAGTATGCCTGTACCTCTGTGCCTTTGCAGGCAGTGCCAGGGATTTGATCTGGTCTCAGATGGGGGTTTCCAGCCTTCCCCTTTGCCCTCATTTTGTAAGACTTTGCATAGGTCTTTTAGCCCTCTGCCTCCTTCCTGGTCCCTCCCTCAGCCTCTAATGGGATGCAGAGTCACAGAGGACAGCTGTGCTGGCCAGACGCTTCCTGGGAGGGTCACAGGCAGGCCACTGAGGAAGACTGTGGCCGAGGACAGGACTGGGGACACATTAAAAAAAATCCGACCACCAGGTTTCGAGTTCCTGCCCCAAGGATCTGCAGAGGTGGCCTGCCCTGCATCTGGCACCTGTCATTGAACACAACAGTCCCAAGGCTTATCCAGTGTCGTGGCTGTGTTAGAATTCATCCCTTCTTTATGGCTGAACACTATTCCCTTAGGTGGATATATCACATTTTATCTATCCATTGGTGGATGGACACTTGGGCCGTTTTTACCTTTATGCCTTTGTATGTTTGAACATCTTGCCAACTCCTCCAGGTAGAGGTGTAGGAGCAGAATTGCTGAGTCGTATGGTGGTTCAGCATTTAACTGTGGCAGGATGAGAATGTTTTTGAGGCCTCCAGTCCAGGCGACTCAGTTCTCGGGACCTCCATGGCACTTATTATTGTGTTTAATTATAGCTGCCGCAGGGTGTGTACTCTCTCCATGGCTGTCCATGTCCTAATGACGAAGCCCTGGCTTCTTCCTAATGGCAAGGTCACTGTTTTCATGTCTTCTTTGGGGAATTGGCCATTGAAGACCTATGCATGGTCTCTTTTTTTTTTGGTTGTTTTTTTGGTTGTTTGTTTTTGGTCTCTTGAGACAGGGTCTCCCAGTAGCTCCAGCTGACCTAGAAATCATTACGTAGACCAGGCTGGCCTCGAACTCACAAGGCTCACAGAGATCCGCCTGCCTCTGCCTCCTGAATCCTGAGATTAAAGTGTGCACCACCATGCCCGGCTCTGCATGGTTTTTAAATTGAGTTATATTATTATTGTTTTATTTTTTTAATTTGGCTGTCTTTGTGTCTTAAATTGCATTATCTCTCCTGCCATAAGACCTGGATCCTTTTTGGATTCTGGGTAGTAGGTCCCCAGTGGGTCATTTCGCACTCTGATGATGTCCTTTGATGCCCACCACTTTCTTGATTTTGACGGTTTAGGCGCTCTTGTGTTCTTTATGCCTTTAGTGCCTCATCTGAGACACCATTGCCCAGTCTTTGGTCAGGACACTGGCCTTTGGGCTTTCTTCCAGGAGCTTCGTAACTTCAGTGTAGTGACCCTCTGTGTCCCTTAAGGACAATAGTGCTCTGCTCACTAATACTTAGTAGGCTCTGCCACTCTGCTCACTAAGAGTTAACAGGCTTCTTTAGACTCTGTTGATGCAGAGGCTTGAGGAGGAGGAGGCTGTTTCCAGGCTGCTGGGAAGACCTGCACCTGTTCATTATTATGAAGGAAAAATCCCCATGTGTTGAGCACCACTTGAACACTTGTCATATGTAAACTCTGTGAACTTCAAACACTGAGCTTCCAATCAAGGTTCTCAAGAGGGCAGTGAAATCATTCCTGAGCAGCCTATGGGGGGGTGCGGGGTGGGAGCATCTGGTCTAATGTCAGGTTTTCAGCACCAGTCAAGCAGGAGAGGCTACACTTAAAGTCATGTATTTAGGTGTTTGATCCATTTTGAGTTCATTTCTGATGTAGCAGTACAGTATCGTCTTTGGCTGTCCCGGCCCCACGCGTGGAAGACGCAGCTCTTCCCCACTGAGGGAGTGGGGTGACTCAGACTCACCCCCCTGGGCGGCACATCATCAGCACCCCAGCCCCACTGTTTCCATGCCATAGCTTTCTGTCTTCTTACTTTTTGAAATTGTGCTTTTTTCTTGCCTAATTGTTGTGTTTGTAACTTCCAGTGCAGTGGTGGCCGAGGTGGCCGTCCTCCTTTTGTTCCCGTAAGGATCATCTGTGGGGCCTCATAGACGTCTGCTATTGTGCTGAGGAAGTTCCAGTAACACTTTGCTGAGTGTCTTTACCATGACAGGGTGGAGCTTGCTAAGTGCCTTTCTACTTGGTTGAGATGGCCAGGAGGCCCCTCACATGCCCCTGCACAGGAGGAAACTCCCGTGGTGGTCAGCCTTGTTTTCCTGGAATGTGTCCCTCCTGGCCATACTGTAGTCCTTTGCTGGGGTTCGTTTGATTGTCTTTTGTGAATGCATCTGTTCACAGTAGCTTTGATCTCTAGGAATGAGTGAGGAAAGGTTACCCCCCTTCTTTTGGTCGGGGGAGAAGGCATGATCCTCTGCTAAATGTTTAGTAACACAGCAGCCATCCAATCCTGGACTCTTCATTTGTGTGTGGATTTTGATTAGTGATTAATGTCTCTGACCATCTCAGGTCCAGTCCCCTGGCCTGAGTCAGCGCCTACACATTAGAGTCCAAGACACAGACAGATTGAGATGACATGGGAAGAAACTTCACGCAGACGGTAACCACAGAGATCCAAGTGGCAAAACAAGATGGGTTAGATGCCGCAGTGTCAGAAACAGCCACGAGACAAATAGTGACATTAAACATCAACAGAGCTCAGTCTATCAGGAAGGCATAATTTTTACCATACCGACCCCAAAATATATGAAGTAGACATAAGAAAGGCTTGGAAAGAAATAGCTCCAGTTCACAACAGTCAGAGTCTTCAGCGAGCCTTGTTAGCGTAGGACTTTTAGAGACGCGCGAGCAAGCATCACAGTGTTACTAGCAAAAACATGAGTCTCTGTAAGAAACAATATGGAGGGGTTTTTTTTTTTTTTTTTGGTCTTTTTGAGACAGGGTCTCTCTGTAGCCCCAGCTGTCCTGGAACTCACTATGTAGACCAGGCTGGCCTTGAACTCACAGAGATCCGCCTGCCTCTGCTGGGATTAAAGGTGTGCACCACCACGACCAGCTGAAGCTCTTTTTTAAAGGTTAAAAACTCATTCAATTTTATGTCTTACAGGGTTTATACCGAGTTCAATATTGTATAACTGTGTTAATTCAACAGTGAACCTAAAAATTTTATAGCCACTTTTGAAAGAGATGTGTCTTCGGAAACTGTTATTGAGTATGTTAAAGCTGTAATGAAATGCTTCTTCTGATATATATATAAAATTTAGAAAAAGTAGAAATTGTAGGGCAATTGGATAAACAGGGGGCTCAGAGCACAGCTGGGCCTCACAGAACACACAGAGCAGCTGCTGGTCATCTCAGATCCAAGGAGTCTCAGTGCACTTAAAATACTTGAGGTGATACAAAGTATCCTCTCTCACCACAGAGGAAAGAAGCTGGAAATTAAAATAAACCTGGAAAACTCAGCAATGGAGCAACATGCTTAGACAGCCAGCTAGCCCAGGACCACCCAGAAGCTGGAAAATACAGGGAATGGATGGCAATGACAACACAACAAACCCAAGCTGGAATGGGTCAGACGGCGCAGAGGGAAGTTCATACTGCAAAGGAAGAACGCAGATCAGTCACCTAATTTCACACCTCGAGGAACCAGGAAGAGAAAGTGCCAAGGAAACCCAGAGCTAGGCGTGCTAGCAAGTGAGCAGGAAATACAGTAGAGCCTGCAGCCTGAGCTCAGAAAAACAGTGGGAGTCAGTGGGCTGGGAAACTAGTCCTTAAAAGAGCAACAACATTGGCCAGTGTTTACTGGACTGAGAAAAAAAGAGATGACTAAGTAACTAAAGTCATAATGGAAGTGGGGGCATCTCTCCTAAGTTTATGTAACCAAGATGGATCTGAAGAGAAGCCTGAACAGTCGTGACCAGCAAAGGAATGACCGGGGCAGCAGGGACAGATGTGGTACCCTGGGTGTCAGTGACAGACTCCTGCAAATACACAGACTCCCACAGACACAGACTCCCACAAACACACAGACTCCCACAGACACACAGACTCCCACAAACACACAGACTCCCACAGACACACAGACTCCCACAGACACACAGACTCCCACGGACACGGACTCCCACAAACACACAGACTCCCACAGACACAGACTCCCACAAACACATGGACTCCCACAGACACAGACTCCCACAGACATAAACTCCCACAAACACATGGACTCCCACAGACACAGACTCCCAAAGACATAGACTCCCACAAACACAGGGACTCCCACAAACACATTGGCACATTGACATGTTGCAGACATGGTAT